AAAAAAAAAAAAAGAAAAGAAAACTTTCCCTGAAAACATATACTTTGTCAATGGAAAAGAAGCCATACTCTGTAAAATAATTTAGAGAGGTTTATTCTGAGCCAAATTTGAGGACTATGACCTAGAGCCACACTCAGGAAGCCTTCAGCAAGTTGACTTATGGTGGTGGGGTTACAATTTGGTTTTATACATTTAGGGGAGACAGGAATTACAGGTAAAGTCATAAATCAATATGTGAACTGCATACATTGATTTTGCCTGAAAAGGTGGGACATCTCAAAGTGGGGGCTTACAGGTTATAAGTAGGTTTAAAGATTCTTTAGTTGATTGTTGGCTAAAAGAGTTAGGCTTTGTCTAATAGACCAGGAGTCAGCAAAAAGAAGTGCTGAATTAAGGTAAGGAATGGTCTGTTAATCAAAGTCCGATGCCTGGACAAATGCCTAAACTCAAGTGATTCGTTATATATATTGAGGACCTGCAAGTATGTCTTGAATATTCTTAGGCCTATTAGTGAGTCACATAGGACATCTCTAAGAAGGAGAGTGGGCATGATAAAGTGTGTCTGATCTTCTTTCTCATGGCTAGCAACTCAGTTCTAGGGGATTACCTTGGTCATCGTGGGGGGTTAAGGGGGTGTCTACTTAGTGAGCCACTGGGCTGAGAGCCTTAAGATTTTGTTTTAGTTCACAATTTAAATTTCACACAGATGTTTGTGTTTGTGAAATAGTTTTGTGGAGATAATATTAAGAAATCTTACATAATTATTATGTTTTTAAGATTGGTATTAACTACCCATCTTGCAGAGCATGTGGTCCATTCACGTTGGAACAATTCATACAGGCCAGAGAGCACTCCCTTCCCTTAGGATGTGAAAATGCAAGTTTAAGTATAATAATTAACAATAAAAAGTCATTTATGAACAAATATACTTCTCATTTTCCACAGAAATCTTATGGGAAAGACACTCTTTGAAAGTAAAGAAAGTAGTCAGTTTGGAAGAACCTTTGGTCAAATTCCAGATCACATGGTGAGCAAGAAAACTTCTCCTCGAGTAAACCCATGTGAAAGCAGTGTGTGTAGAAAAGTCTCCATTGATCGTTCATCATTTATTATACCCATTAAAGCTGGCACTGGACAGAAAGCACCTGAGTATAAGGAATGTAGACAAAAGCCATATACACATAAGAAATGTGAGAAAACTTTCAGTTACCCCCACTCCTTTGGAACACATGAAAGGTCTTCCACTGGAGAGAAACTCTTTAATTGTAAGGAATGTGGAAAACCTTTCATTTCTCTCACTGGCTTTCGAAATCATATGGTAATACACAGTGGAGATGGACCTCATAAATGTATGTTTTGTGACAAAGCATTTGCTTTTCGAAGTTTATATCATAAACATGAAAGAATTCACACTGGAGAGAAACCATATAAATGTAAACAATGTGGTAAGGCTTTCCATACCTCCGGTTCTGTTCTAGCACACAAAATAACTCACACTGGAGAGAAGACTTATGAATGTAAGGAGTGTGGAAGAGCCTTTGTTCATTTCAGTTCCTTTCATATACATGAAAGGACTCACACTGGAGAGAAACCTTATGAATGTGAGCAATGCGGGAAGGCATTTGCTCAGCAGAGGAGCGTTCAGTGGCACATGAGAATGCACACAGGAGATAGACCTCATAAATGTAAGATATGTGGGAAAGACTTTTATTCTCCTGGTTCACTTCAAAGACATGAAAGAAGTCACTCTGGGGAGAAACCCTATGAATGTAAGCAGTGTGACAAAGCCTTAAGTTCTTCAACTTCCTTGCGATATCATGAAAGGATACACACTGGTGAGAAGCCCTTTAAATGTAAGTACTGTGGGAAAGCCTTCAGGTCTTCCAGTTTCTTTCGAATACATGAAAGGACTCACACTGGAGAGAAGCCTTATAAATGTAAGCTTTGTGGAGATGCATTCCATTGTGTCTGTTCCTTTCATAGACATGAAAGGATTCACACTGGAGAGAAACCCTATGAATGTAAACATTGTGGTAAAACCTTCACTTCCTCTACTTCCTTTCAAATACATGATAGAATTCACACTGGAGAGAAACCCTATGAATGTAAGCACTGTGGAAAAGCCTTCAGGTCTGCCAAAGGCATTCGAATACATGAAAGGACTCACACAG